GAAAGCATCAGCGTCATATGTGTCGGTGTTACACGCGATGTATTGAAGTCATCAGCGTACATTACGCGCCGTTTATGGCCTCGCGTGCAGAAAGAGAGATATTATACTCTTTTACTACCGCCAGCCCGTTTACACGATTAACAATTTTCCTATTCAGAGAGACTTGACGAGGTTTTACATCAAGTGTAGACGAGCAGGAGTGTCGTTTACTGAAGCATCGATTCTCTTGACAGCTTTACTTGGCTCGCAGTGCACAAGCAGAGAGCTATAAATACGATGTATTTTAAATTCTCATAGAAGCCTAATAAAAGCATTTAATTTAGTCATGTCAAACGTCATTTCATTTTACAAAATTCCAGATTCAATTCTTCAAGTAGATCAAAAATATATACTACACACGAACAATATAATAAATATTATAAAAGTTAACTATATTGCTTCTCTTCTGTGTAAATATATTACTCAACCAATTAATCGTAATGAGATGAAAACATTATTGTGACTATTCAGCCATTCATTAACGGTATTTGAACTAGCAATTTTTTTACTTATTTTTCATGCTTAAAGATACAGAAGAATTTGACATGAAAACGGTATAATGAGATACTCGCCTTGCAATTGCGAGGAGAAATCGCTGGTTGATTCTTCTTCGTCAGGTGCTTCAGCCTACAACGTCGTCGTCAAACTGATCCTTCACGCAACCACTTACAGCACAACTGTGACCTTCGAGCCAGACTTTCCATCGCAAGAAACTCCTGCGATACGTCTTCGCTTTCTTTCCCGACGTTTTTCTCCCCACGACGTTGCTCCCTCCTCAGCAGCGAAAAACTTTTCAACATCGTTCATGGAAACTGAGTTTCTCGCCCCTTATGCCTGTTGCATTTTTAAAGAGAGCGTGCAATTGCATCGCGATTGAAGGAAAGGAGGGGACAAGGAAAGCCATCATTTTCGTGATTCGTAATATGACAGTTAAAAAGTTTTCTTTTTTTTACAATAGAAATATATACTTAATGCATGGGGAGAGGCAAGGGAAAATGATTGAGTCAGTGGTCGATGACACGAGAGGTTCGGTTGTCGACCCTCGAGCAAGTTTCAGCATTTCGCAAAAATTATTCGTCGATCGAACCTCGAAGCGTCGTCTTGAGAGAATAAAAAAATGAAGACCACGCTAAGTCGGCTCGTCAGATTCAACCTCCACATTTACGGCATCTGGCCTTACGTACCGTCCACCGTGTTGTTTAGATTGTACTGGATAATGATGCTAAGCACAGCCCAGGTCTGTCAGTATGGATATGTCGTAGTGAACATTCATATGGACGACTTTTCCCAATTTATGGACGGAGTTAGCAGCGCGATGGCTTCCTCTCTGCTCTACATCAAACTCGTTCTTCTGTGGACCAATCAACGGTATGATGCATTTACGGAATATCACACAAATCTCGTTTGTCATAGAATACAAATCCGATCCCTCGTCACTTATCGCAGTCATCGATTAAGAGTCGATCTCGTTGATTTTCATTTGAATCTCACGTTTTCATTTAAATCGATCGATTTGCTCACGAGTAAATGGAGCTGCCTCGTTTTTTTTTCCTGATACGTTATGAAACAAATTCGGAGCCGGATTCAATTTTACGGTGGCCGAGAGTGAAACAGGCATTAACACCCACGGTGTGAACGATCTTTCGTAGAATATTTTTCGATCTGTTGCAAATGATGTCCGCGGACTGGCAAGACAATATTATCCCGAGCCCCTATAATTCGCGGATAATGATGAAAACGGCAAATGTCGCACGTCGCGCCTCGAGATGGATCATTGGCCTGCAGATAGGTGCCGTAATCACCTACAGCGCCGGCGTTCTCGCAGCTAACGTGGGTAATCCCGACAGAGTGGAACCGTACAAAAAAGAGCTCATTCTCAAGATGGCATTCCCGTTCAATATTAGCACGAATTCTATTTACGTGGCGATTCAAAGTGTTCAATTTTACCATCTGTTTCTTGTCGCCTGCGGCATCACGACTATCAATTCGCTTCTCGTTACTCTGGTAAGTTTTTGACACGCGTTCAATCACTTTTTAAACAAGACGGATCCGCGCGATCAATTTCTCGATTTTATTTTATGTACAGAAGTTAGTCTGATAAAAAGTTTACCATAATTTCTCGAAAACGGTTGTGATAGGGCAAGACATCTATTATTAAAATTATAAGATAAGAAGAGACACATACTTTAGTGATCTTGAATAACCCTGAATGTTCAATTTTTACATCAATAATAAAAAATAATTATTTTGTTTAATGCGGAAGGGATACTTTGTAATTTATCCTATTGATAGTATTCAATTAATAATTTATCCTGAAAATAGTTTAATTTCCAAAAGGTCTGTAATACAAAAGTTAGAAAGAGTTACTAAAATATTTTTTTTTAGATAACACATCTAAAGCACAAGTTAAGATATTTTAATTTGTAAATATCTCGTGAAATAATTTAATTTTTTAAATATTATCAACGAGACAATTATAGGATGCAGAATATTTCTTAAAGCTATGAATCCGTTTGATTAATAACGTTGTGTGTATAATTTTATGACATCTGACAATGAAATTAGATGTATATATAAATACCTTGCTAAAAATTAAATTTATATCTTCTCTCGGTACATCTTTGAAGAACGATTATTTATCTTCTCGAGAAGATTATCAAGTTCTAAACTTCAGGTACTTCATGTCAGTGGTCAAATCGATATTCTTCGCGAACGATTGATGAAAGCTTTTTCCAAGAATGAGACAGATTTGACGGACGAGATTACGATACAAACATTGATCATAAAGCATCAGCGGATTATCGTATTTTCGGAAAGTATCGAGAATCTTTACACATACATCGCGTTTATGATGCTTTTATCTGACACACTCATCATATGCTGTATAGGATATATTATCGCTACTGTAAGTAAAAAATGACGCGTTTGATGTTTTATAGACATAAAATATTGCATAAAAAATTATCGATATCAAAGAAACGTTACAAACATCACACATTAATTCATACCAAAATAAATTGCCAATGTAAGTGAAAATTACAGTCGTTAGATGATCCCAACGCGGCGGCGATCCTGGTAAAGTCCGTGTTGTTTTACATCACGATAAACCTCGAGGCGTTCATATACTGTTTATCTGGCGAATATCTGAGCGCCAAGGTCAGCATCGATATCTCATCGTGATTTTACAAAAAATCCCTATTAATTCGCGAACATTTGCTTTTCTTTCAGAGTAAGATGATCGGGAATGCGGCGTACGATTCTTTGTGGTACGACTTTCCGGCCAAAGAGAGCCAAATTATATTGTTTATCATTCTAAGGTCGCAGAAAAGGTTGACGATTACGAGTGGAAAAATCATGGATCTCTCTTTGGAGCGTTTTACTAGCGTAAGATTCAACTTGATATTATCTTTTTCTTTTGTTTTATTTGTCGCAATTTCTATACAACATGAAATTTGAATATTTTTGACAGATTTTATTTTCTTATAAATGTTATCTTTTAATTCTAACATTTTAATATTAATTTCGAGTGAATATATATTGTCTTGTTGTGACTTGTAAAGTTAAGCTATTATTATTTTTTTTTAAGATTAATCAAAAATTACAAAAAAAATTTAATTGCAGAAATCGACATGTTAAAAAATCACAACTTGTACAAATAATTTTATTCTACTTATTGTTTTGTTATTACTTTTTTTATTATTATTATTTATATTAGAGAGATTCTAATATATACAATGATGATTAATTACAGGTTATCAAGGCTTCAGCATCATATCTATCGCTACTACTAGCAATGACCTAAATATAAAAGAGAGAGAAAGAGAGAGAGAGAAAGAGAGAGAGAAGAGAGAGAGAGAGAAAGAGAGAGAGAGTGAGAGAGATAACATATATTATGACAATGGTAGTAACAATAATATGAACTAATAGTGCCTAAACAATAGAGTTCAATAATACATAAGATAAAAATATAAAAAGTTAGTTTTAATTATGTAATGCTTCTATTCCATTTATTTTCCACGACTTGCAAGTAATTCTAGCTACACTTAACTTCACTATTATATTCTTTTAATTTATATTTTATATTCTTTTAGAGAAAAAAAATGCATAACAATTGTTGTAAATAATGTGGATATCTCTTAAATAAGATCTTTTTTGTAGAGCTTCTTGTTTGCTTGTCTACAGCGAAAGAACAATACTGAAAACTACTAACAATTTCGTTCTCTCTTCTTCGGGGATCCGCGTCCTTAAGTCTTGAGTTACTTTTTCACGGTCGTTGCACACAGCTTCGTATCTGATTTATGTTTGTGCCTCATCCAAGATATCGCGTGTGAAAAGACCTGTACTTTCTCATAATTAAATCCATCTTTGTTCCTGTATAATTTAACATTTTACTTCTTTAATTTTATCTTAAGGTTTAAAAATTAAAAAAAGATGCAACGTAAAAAGAGAGTAATATTTTCAAGTGTCCACTTGCGGTTTACAGAGAAAAATCACTCGATGAAACTTTTTATCACTCTCTCGCTTCGCCAAGGGGAGTGTATTTCTGCCACATATATCGCAGTACGAACACGTAATCTTGGGTCGCTCCTCGTCCGAACAAACTTCCGCATTTTCATATTCCTCTCTTCATGACGCTCACTCGGCAGCGAAACTTTTCAACTGCGCGTTTATCGCGCAGGTCATGGAAGCTGTAAACTCGCCCCTATTGCAGGCATTGTTACATTTTTAATTCGCAGTTGCATCGTTCTCGTAACTCAAAGAAGGGAAAAGAAAAAAATATGCTATCCTCCTTATAATATTTTTCAGGTTCACGCGACGTGTGACTGTCGCACCTGATACTTATTCGAGTTTGTCAAAGTTCGCGATACGCACGTGGCAATACTGAATATTTAACGTGTCATCCGATTGGTGAACTTTTCTTTTTATTTTTTTCGGTCAGTGACCGTCTCGATTCCCCACCTTTTCGAATTTCTTTCCGTAAAGTTACCTGGCGATTCGCACATGCTCAAAGCGTCCTTTTATTTATGGTGAACATGGAGATAAGCACGGTTAGTCGCGCGGTAAAGATTGGTCTTCATGCCTGTGGTATCTGGCCATATCTACCGTCTACCGTGTTGTACCGGTTCCTTTGGACTGTATTGTTGAGCACAATTCAGATATTTCAATATCGCTACGTGATGGTACACTATTACACCGATAGTTTCTCCAACTTTATGGATGGAGTGAGCAGCGCTATGACGTACAGTCTCCTGTTAATCAAACTCGTCATTTTATGGGCTAATCAGCGGTAAGACATTACTTCATTATTTAAAAAAATTTTTAAGTTTTATTAAATGTATTATTTGTATTAAATTTATTAATTTTATTATTTTGTTAAATTTATTAAATAATTTCAAATTTATTTAATTTTTATAAAAAGATATTAAATATATACATGTGTGAAACGTCCAAATATGCTGTCAAAATTGATCTCAATTATTTCATAAATGGCATTATATATCTTGTCTTTCGCATATAATTTGTTGTGTAAAATTTACTTATTATTTGTAAAAGGATATCAGTGTGTACATATTTACTACAAGATGTTAGATATTGGTACTGAATAGCGTTTCGAGATGAATCTGTGATTCGATTGTAGAACGTTCTCCGATATATTGCAAATGATGGCCGTGGACTGGCAGAATTGCGACTTGACCGAGTGCGGTCTGCGCATTACGACGAATAGAGCCAGACTCTCGTATCGCGTTTCCAACTGGCTCATCGGCCTTCAATTGGGCGCCGTGGTTTTGTACAGTTGCGGCGTTCTTGCCGGCAACGCCGGTGACGTTGAGAAGATGAATGTGTCCTCGCGCGAGCACATCCTAAAGATGAAGCTACCCTTTATGATCAACACGTTTCCCGTCTACGCGCTCGTTATGATTTTCGAGTTCTGTCATCTGTCAATTTGCGCCTGCGGGATGTCTATCGTCAACTCGCTCATTGTCACTCTGGTGAATTTGTTTGCGACAATTTGGTTGCGACACTAGTCGGATCCTCTCAAAATAATCGCGATTTATTACATCGTTTACTTATGGATCTTATTGTTAGATAGTGCACATCGGCGGTCAAATCGATGTTTTTTGCGACTGGCTGATGAAAGCCTTCTCCAAAAATATGATGCTCAAAGTGGACGGGATAACATTAAAAATGCTAATCGTGAAGCACCAGCGGATCATTGCGTTCTCGCAAAGAATCGAAACTCTTTACACATATATCGCATTGATGCTATTTGTGTCGGATACTATCATTATATGCTGCATAGGATTTATTATTATCACCGTGAGTAAACATTCGGAAAAGGTTTATCTTCATCTGCTTGAAATACAGAACCTTTTCCGAAAATTTTGTTCATTTGACACCATTTTTTCTCACGCATCTCAGTCATCCGAAAATGCAATTTATTCATCAAAATATTATAATCGGAATATAATCAAAGTTGCACATCTGCATAAAAATATATATAGATACAATTGATTTTAAATTGCTCCGATATTGCAGTCGATCGGTACGCCTGGTGGTTTTCCCGTCCTGGTCAGATCCATATTATATTACTTTGTGATGAATCTCGAAGCATTTATATATTGCTTCGCCGGTGAATACTTGAGTACCAAGGTTAGCTTAGAATCGCAGCGATATTCGCACAAATCCGCAATCCATCTTTTGCTTCTTTTCTAGAGCAGAATGATCGGAGATGCGGCCTATAATTCTCTTTGGTACGATGTCATGCCTAAACAGAGTCGGACTGTACATTTCGTGATCCTCAGATCCCAGAAACAATTGAGTATAACGATTGGAAAAGTCATGGATCTCTCCTTAGAACGTTTTACCAGCGTAAGTTTCTCATTTTTCTACCTTCCTTTTTATTCTTCATTCTGTAACATTAATTTTTGGCATTTGTACTAAATTCTATTTACGTCTTTAAATTATATAATAAAAAATTTTAATATAAAATTAATTCAAACAAAACTGTGCTATTTTGTCGACTAATAAAATATAATATGATATATTAGAAAGAAAAGAATTTAATTTTTTAATGTAAACATTGTGTTATGATTTTGTTAAACTGACTACTCTATTAGTGCTTAAAATTACATACTCATAATATATTATATTAGTAGCAATTAATATTATAGATAATGAAGGCATCGGCATCATATATATCCGTATTAATGGCAATGTATTGAGAAATAAGTTTTATATCGATCGAAATATTGTGATAGTATCATTCTTCATGGTATATTATTTGATGGAAGTTGTAACACAACAATATATGATACATTAATACAATAAAATTTAGCAAAAATAGTATTTAATTTATTATTATTATTATTATTATTACATTAATTTACATACAATTGTGTGCACTTATTTTTAATGTAATATAATATAATTTACTTCACACACTTACATTAATTTTTCATTTTTGTGCGAAAAATATTGTAGTAATAAATACATGAAGCACGCACCAACGTAAAACGTTTACATAACGAAAACTATTTCTTACATTATTATACGTTGTTTCAGAGATTCTCGTAATATTTAAACAACGTTATATAAATATCTTTGGAAAAAGTTAAATATCAATCAAGAAGGTTTATCAATTCTTTGTAAAAATCTTTGAAAAAAACTAATACGTAAATTTTCCTTTGTCTTGTGATATTCTTTAGTGTTTGTATTACACTTGTTTTTGCGAAACACACGTATTCGGCGTTGAAATAAAACTTTTTACTTTATTTGTCTCCCCTGTCTCTCTTTTCAGTTTTCACGTTTTCTACACGATTATTGTGCACAAACTTATATCCCCGCGTTTCATTCGAAACTACGCGAATAACATTTTCCAGTACTCATTAAATCATACACGTGAAGTATTTCCTTCGTTATTCAGACAACAAATTCTTGAAAAGGAAAACTTCCATGTCTTTTCTTTCCTCGAAAAATCTTCTGATTTCTAGAATCACAAAACTTTTTTCGCGGTCACTGACCACAGTTTAACGTCAGGTGTAGACTTGCGTGCGATACTAACTGCAGCTGCTTAAATATTTAAAGAATACGACGCACTTTTGTTCGGAAACCTGGAAACTTTTTTTTATCGACATGCAAAATATTTAATGAGCAATCGCTCGAGAGAGGGTATCGTCCGATGCATACTCCCTTCCGAGTTTTCAATCTGTACAAAGATTCAGTATCGTGCATATTACACACGTTTCTCATAATGTAAAATTATGGTCTTGGAAGAAGAATCGGTGTATCAGGGTTAAAAAAAATTTAATTGAAACAAGTGATATATAATAAAACAGAAATATGAAAATAGACAATACGCTTAGTAAATCGATGGAAATTGTTCTTCGAATTTTTGGCATTTGGCCGAATTCGTCGTATATTTGGTTACGCAGATTATTTTGGACAATTGCGGTCATGATGGAACAAGTTCTTGAATATCGATGGGTCGTTACACATTTCTATTCTGTAGAGTCTTTCGAAGTGATGAAAATTTTAAGTGAAACAATGACATACACGATAATGTTAATTAAACTCATTACTTTTTGGGTTAAACAGCGGTGAGCTATAATAATATATGTGATGATACTATCAACCAAAAAAAATTTTTTTTCAATTGTTAAATTGCCATTCTTCTAATATATTAATATTTTGTAAATTTGATTTTAACTTTCGTTGCTTAAAATTTTGCATCAATGTAAACTATTTAGTAAATTATAAATAATATAATAAAGTTAAATATGTAAAGAAAATAGATTAATATAATTGATTATTAGAAAAAAATTTAAATTAAGTGAATTTTTTTGTCATTGCTTTATACATCGAAAACCATCCGTAGAACATTTATCAAAATATTAACGATGATGGCAACCGATTTGGAAAACCGTACTACCGATGAAGTTAGTATGATCACGATGACATACTATGCAAATCTATCTCGACGTTTGAATAATGGGACAATCGTCATTTATACGATGTCTATATTGTTTAACTGTAGCAATCTTTTCGCGAATGATGAGAAAGCTTCTAATTCTTCCACGAAACCGCTCATTTTGACCATGGATTTACCATTTGATCTTAACCAAACATTGATATATTGGCTTATCATAATTATTCAATTTTTTCACTTAATGTTGTCTGCTAATGTGCATGGCATGTTAAATACCTTACTAATAAATTTGGTGAGTTTCATTGTTTTCATAATAAATTTATTATTATTTTTTCTATTTTATTATTATACAATAATTATATATACATATATATATATATATATATATATATATATATATATATATATATTATATTATTAACTGTGATTATTTAATAATAATATATAAAAAGATTTATAAATGCACGGCCATATATGTTTCAAAATATAAATTTCTTACATTAAAATAAATAAGAGATATTTAAACATGAGTAGAAGATATACGATAATTTCTGAGTTCTGCAAGATTTAAAAAAAGATTCAATTTTATTCTCCTATTGCAATTAAACAATTTCTTTTCAGATTGATAGGAACGAGATAAATATATTACGGCCGCTAAAATCTCCTAATTCTAATTTATTAGATATTTATTTTTGAAATTATTTAAAATATAGTGTATAACAACACTAATAAATGTTTATGGCGTGCAAGAAAAGATACAAAATAGATTCACAACAATTTGTCTGATACATTTCAGCGAATTATTAAATATTAATATCATGTAACTTATGTTGAGCAAATTATTTAAATATTTCTTTTAATCTTTTAACTCAGAAACTGTGGTATGTATAATGAAATACAATATCACGTAATAATCAAATAATATTTTTAACTTGTGTTAGTATGTATTTACTTCCTATATTGAAATATTGAAGTATTACCGAGCATATTTAAATCTTATGTATTTTTTATCCTGTATATGCATTAGTATAAAAATAATTTGTTGATAAATTTTGTTAAATATACATATATTTATTCAAAAATTTCAAAAGATTGTATAAACATATTTCGCCAATTTAATTTCAACATTAAAATATTTTTAGCGATTTCCAAGCGTAAAGATTAAAAAAGCTATATTTTAGATACTGCACGCAGGCGGTCAAATAGATATTCTTTGTAAGTGGTTGACGGAAATGTTTCCAACGGAAGAAAAGTTATCCGAGAAAAGAAGTTTAAATCCCTTGATGATACAGAAAGTAATCAAGAAACATCATCAACAAGTCATCATCTTTTCAGAGAAGATCGAAGAAATGTACACAAATATCGCGCTGGTGCTGTTCGTGTCGGATACTTTAATTATCTGTTGTTTGGGTTATACACTCGTCATGGTAAGTAGCGTCTCAATTTTTTTTGCGACAGGACAATTTTTACGAAGAAAAAGAGCGCTTGTAAAAATAAATTTAGAGAGTAAACAGTGTTAATTATTTTAAATTATTCATCTTTCTATTGCTTTCTTATTGCCATTAGGTCTTTTCTTAATATTCCAGTCAGTTGGAACGCCTGATGGTATAAAAATTATAATGAGAATAATTTTATTTTACGTCGTTTCAAATATGGAGGCGTTTACGTTTTGTTTCGCTGGAGAATATCTAACTAATAAGGTTAAATTTTGAAACAAATATTACGTTTAGAAATGTATATATTATTTGTCTTTGAAAATCTTATAATTTTTCGTTTAAAATAGACCAGCAGCATCGGAGATGCTGTGTATAATTCTTGCTGGTACGAAGCAAATTCTAAAGACAGTCGGTTTATTGTGTTTATGATAATGAGATCACAGAAGCAATTAACTATTACAATTGGGAAAGTGTTGGATTTGTCCATGGAACGGTTCTGTAGTGTAAGTTTATTCTACATTACATATTTATATTATTAAAGGTATGTAATACATACTTTTTATAACGCCAGCTTTCATTCTTTTATAGAACGATAAAAAAAGTTATTTTTTTATAAGATATAAATATTTTTTATTTTTTATGATTAATTAATTTTTTGTAATACATACAGTGTTTCCCAAAATCTCAAAAATTGCAACGCATGCATAAAAATTATTTTTGCAATTAATACGTCTATCATGCTGCATACGTCGCACAAGGCTGATCTTTACCATTGATCGTAGACTCTGTGCGACCAACTCCGGGCCTAACTATATTTTTTGTTTTTATATTCTCTGTTAAAGATTTAAATATTGAATTTTTATGCGTTGCATAATTAATTAATATATTTTTATGCACGCATTACAATAATAGTTATTATGCATGCGTTGCGATTTTATTATCAAAAAATAATCCAACTTCGCGCGCTTAATTATATTTAGTTAAATTAAACGAAATGAGAAAATGAACATATGTACATATATACAGTGACTACTTAAAAAATTATTATGCATACATATATCTTTTATTTTATAAATATAATTTTCTATATTGTTTTCTTTGTTTCTTAACTGATAAACTAATAAATTAATAATCATATTACATAAAATATATTTATTTTTTTAAATATTTTATACATTTTAAAGACTTTAGTCAAAAACAGATAGGTAGGGTAAAGGTACCGATTATGAGATAGGTTCTAAATATGAGATAGCGTCTTAGTAACGACACCGTAATAAATTTACATAAGATAAAGATGATTTTGTTTGTAATGTAAACACATTTATTTAAAAAATGTAAATTATAGAAAGTATATAAAAATATATATTTGGACCCTGCTGCAAATATACCTGAACTTTGTGAAGTAGAAGAAGATCTGCAATGTCCAGCAATAAAAAATAACAAAGATGATACAAACATTAAATTGATTGAAACACTTAAAAGAACAGATATTATAAAAAAAAACAATTATTATTTAAAGATAATTTAATCGATAATATGGATTATAATATAATTGAAATTTCAAATGCTAAAAATAATGAACAACTTCAACATATTGCTCCAAATATATATATAATTTATTTACAAAATATAAAATAGATATATTATAATATGTCTATTTTAAGCATATATTATACGATATATTATACAAAGATTCTCGATTGGACGGTGGTTGTGCACGCTGCGTCGCTGAAACTCGCCTAATATTTATATAATATATCGTATAATATATGCTTAAAATAGACATAATATATCTATTTTATATTTTGTAAATAAATTATATATATATACCTATTATATTTATTAAATATTAATATTTTTTTTTGCAAGATGCATACATATATATATTCTCATAATAAATGATATTATTACAGATTATAAAAGCTTCAGCCTCGTACATATCGGTTTTGACTGCAATGTATTGAAGCAAGTCTTATAGATCAAATTTCTAATAAACAAAATATACTGATTGTTGATTAGTGATTAAAGAAAGATTTACACATAAAAAATTTTTAAAAACACAAACTGTTTTGCGATATTATTACACCATTTCTCTTTTCACGTGTGTTGCAAGCACTCGTATATATACACGCGTACACGCGTATTTGTCGAGTAAGAATAAATATGGGGTTGTCTGGATGTAAATCAATAATCCGTATTTCATGTTCATTAAATGAGGTCGATATATATTCTTTTTTTTTTCCACGAAAAAATTTCACTCGAACATAATACACTTTCCGCGCTCGCATTTTGCATTTTTAAATTAATAATTCGCATATACAATAATTTGCCGCCATATTGCGTCACAATATCGAGAGAAAGAGGAAACCGAGCGTGCGGAAACAAATGTTGTAAATTTTCCTCTTTTTTGACCATTATCGAGATGTAACTGTGATGTATACAGTTACAATCGTATTTATATCGCTCGATAGCAAATAGAATATTTAATGATCATCCGATCTCGATCAATTGCGTACCATGCGATTTCGTAATAAAATTCTCATCCTTAACTATCTGCTTTGCAATACAATTTCCATCGAAAGAAAACGATATGTTCGCCGGTATTTTTATGAGCAACAAAAAGGTTTATTTCTTACAAACATGACGACTACAAGCTTTTCTATGTATTTTCCAGAGCTTGTTCTTTGGATGTTTAATTTTTAGTCTATCGTGCAGATTCTTCAGGTACGCAACATTTAATCATCGTAGACATCTTTCAGTATGCTTATGTCGTATTGCATAGACGATCTGGTGAACTTGATGGACAATCTAAACTTTACTTTGATCTACAATCTATTACTCCAAAATGATTGTCCTCTAAATCAATCAATAATAAGAAAGTTAATAATTAATTAATCGTGATCGTGATTATCGCGGTACAAACACGTACCTAATCTTGGGTCGCTCCCCGTCCAAACAAACTTCCACGTTTTTATATTTCTTCCTTCATAACGCTCCCTCGGCAGTGAAACTTTTCAACTATGCGCGTTTATCACGCAGGTCATGGAAGCTGTAAACTCGCCCCAATTGCAGGCATTGTTGCATGTTTAATTCGCAGTTGCATCGTTTTTGAAACTTGACTCAAAAAGGGAGGGTAAAAAATATGCTATCCTCCTTATAGTATTTTTCAGATTCACGCGACATGTGACTGTCGCACCTGATAGCTATTCGAGTTTGTCAAAGTTTGCGATACGCACGTGACAATACAGAATATTTAACGAGTTATCCGATTGGTGAACGTTTATTTTCATTTTTTTCGTTCAGTGACCGTTTCGATTCCCACTTCTCTAAATTTCTTTCCGTAAAGTTACCTGACGATTCGCACATGCTTAAAGCGTCGTTTTATTTATGGTGAACATGGAGATAAGCACGGTTAGTCGCGCGGTAAAAATTGGTCTTCATGCTTGTGGTATCTGGCCATATCTACCGTCTACCGTATTGTAATCAATTACTTTGGACTGTATCGTTGAACACGATTTAGATCTTTCAGTATCGCTACGTGATGATACACTATTATACCGATAGTTTCTCCAATTTTATGGTTGGAGTAAGCAGCGCTATGACGTACAGCCTTCTGTTAATCAAACTCGTCATTTTATGGGTCAATTAGCGGTAAGACATTACGTCAACATTTTTAAACAATTTTAATTTTTATTAAATGTATTAATTAATTTAATTTTTATAAAAAAATATTAGATATATACATGTGTGAAAACGTTCGAATATGATGTCAAAATTCATCTCAATTATTTCGTAAATTCATTAAGCAAATTAATACAATTGTCGCTCGTATATTGAAAACAAAGTGATAAATATAAGGCCAACTTATCGAGCTGAATATTCGAGATGTTCAGTCAACTACCATTTATTACATGTATAAATTATAAAACTACAGTCATTATATTAAAACTAACGCAAATTACAATCATTCTATAAACGTTTCGACCGCACGCGGTCTTCTTCAGTATAATTATTGAAATATAAATTCTTACAATTCACATAATATCGAAATTTAATTATAGTTATTCAGAATCAAGAGTTTTTGAGTAATTAACGCGTGTTTCAATCCGTCCTGTCCAACAATGTTCGCCTCGATATGATCCCTGATTTTGTTCAGATCTCGGATAGTTTCATCGTTAATATGCGAGAAATTAACCCGTTCCGTAGGCGCTGCGATTTATAAAAAATTACCGATCAACGCATGTCCAAATTATAATATGTATCCCCTACAATTGGTAGTATGCTTACCTATCATCGTTCTTCTTGATAATTTTGCTACTTATTAACAGTTATTAAGGATGACACATAACAAACCAACAATACAGAAAGACAGCTCATTTTAAACTCTACTTGATCGGAGAGCGTGCGTGTTTATATATGATCTAATATCTATGTTTTACTCGTTAATGTCCTATTTGTCCTATTATTATTTCTTGTTCGCTAATATATCCAAAATATCAAAATACGACTCGCTAAGTAACTCAGTATCTTTGTTTAAATTTAGTCCATTTTTTTGTTCCTTGATATGTAGCATCTCAGAAATGAGTCTTTTATAATAATTATTTTCGTTGTCCATGATCTTAACATTGTCCCAATTAAAAGTATGATGTTCATTTATTATGTGTTCAGAAATTACTGAATGTTTCGTTGAGTCCAACCTAATATTATTTTTATGTTCTTTTATTCGCGTCTGCAATTGCCTCTTTGTTTGGCCTACATAAGATGCATTACAATTATTGCAACTGATCTTATAAACCACATTCGAATTGCATGGATGTTTAGTTTTATCTTTCTGCGCTTTAATAATATTATCCAGTTTGTTGAGACATCTATACCCTACCATACAATTTTTATTTTTTACCGAGGAAACAATCATTTCTGAGATCCCATCTATATACGGAATGACAAAGAATTTTTTATTGACCGAGTCATTTCTTATACTTTTTGTTCTTTCTATGTTGGCCTGTCTCTCTATAATGCTCCCCTTAGATATGATGTGTTCTATCCGATGATTAATTTTGTTAAAAATCAGATCAAGAGGGTAACCATTGCTTCTGAGTATATTAATAATTAACTCCAAATTTTTATTAAAAAATAGTGGATGTGATAGCAATAGACATCTGTCTACAAGGTTATATATTATTCCTATTTTGTGGCATAGTGGGTGGTTTGAATAAAATGATAACGTCCTTCCTGAGAAGGTTTCTTTTTGATACCAGTCTATATATATTTTGTTATTAATAATTTTAAGTGATAAATCTAAGAAATTCAAGCTATGGTTAACCTCTTGTTCGACCGTGAATTTAAGTCTTTCATGATAGTTGTTAAAATTATTCACAATCTGAGTCATATTAGTCATAGAGGTGGCCACTATTATGTCATCCACATAACGAAAATAAAACAAACATTCCAAATTCAACGCTTTGAGAACTGTATCCTCAAGATCTTGCATAACCAGGTCTGCAATAATTGGTGATAACGGTGACCCCATAGGGGTCCCAAACGTCTGTTTATAAATTATGTCATCAAATGTAAAATATGTAGAAGTCAATATGAATTTTATACCCCCCAAAAATTCGTTTTTCGGTATTTTAGTATTTATTCCAATGTGATCCCATCTATCGTTAATACCGTCAATCGCAAGATCCAGAGGAACGTTCGTAAACAAAGACACCACATCCAAGGAAAACATCCTATCATTATCATCAATCTTTTTACCAGACAATATGCTGTACAAATCAAAACTATTATTAATATGACTTTTCGCTTTGGGTAGACTAGTTCGTAAGGTGTTTTGTAAAAACGAAGCCAGCGAGTATAGAGCTGTATCAACCGATGAAACTATGATTCTAACTGGATAGTTTTCCTTATGGATTTTCGGTAATCCATACGCTTTTGGAAGGAGAGAATCACTACAACGTAATTTATAATATTCGTTTTTTGAAATATAATCTTCCTTAAGCCATCTCTTCAACAAATCATTCAAATCGTTCTCTATTTTTTTGCACGGATTTTTTTTAACAATAGTGTAAGTGTTGACATCTTTTAAAACGTTTTCCATTTTGTTAATATAATGAGATCTTTCCATTGCCACCGTAGCATTACCCTTGTGTTTTTCCTACACATTTAGAAGGTTTTTGCCGCATTAAATTTAACGTTTTTCATCACAGATCGATCAGAAGACTAGATAGTATGTTGTACAAATTCAAAACAAATGCGATGAGCATTGAAATCTTTGATTTGCATAGACAGGTAGAGTCATTACAAAATAGGATTTTTCATCTCACCAGCGGGTTATTTAATCGTTTACCTGTACTCGCGTGGAATAGAATTTTCGAACATCATAACATTGCTTTTAAAAATTGCCACAACAGATTGGTTACTGCACACGAAAAGAAATTCAATTGGCTTAAGAGAAAACAACACTATAAGTATATCAACAGCATCAAACCTATAGATATACATTGTTCTTTACATTTTGAAACTTCACAACCGACGAAAATATCACAAAATTCTCTCAGGGCAATCACTAATGATGCCAAGGAGATCAATATACACATAGAAGCCAATAAATTTCTCAATGATACAATTAACCCTTTGGAAAATACTAATAAAAAATGGTTTGTTAATCTTTCCAACACAGACATTCCGCCTAACGTTTCTAATCTGTTGCAAATGGGTGATAAATTCTGTCTTCCGAATATTAGTAAAAAAACAGCGATACATGAATTCATCAAGGACATAGAGAGTAATAGCAAACGAAATAATATTAATAATCTCACAACAATCAGAAATATCGCGGTTCCAAAATTTGCACAACTTCTGAACACGAAGGATAAAAATGACGTAAGTCAACAAAAATTACTTGGTGCACACAGAGATTTAATAAAATTTTGTAAAGACAATCCGAATGTTCTATTCACAC